TCGTGGGCTCGACTCGCGCGGCCTGCCACGGGCAGCGCCTCGACGACGGGAGCGACGGCGCAGTGAGAGCGCGGAGCGCGTCCGCAGCGGGGCCGGGCGGGCGGGGACAGGCGCGGGAGCCTTGGCGGCCGGAGGACCGCAGGCGCGGGACCCTGCTTCAGAATGAGACGTGGGAAGGGCCGGGGCTCAGGCCCCAGCCCCGGGGAAGTACCCAGAAAGGCCGTGCTGCAGTCCGCGTGCCGCAGCGCGACCCCGGCGGAGGGCGGTGCTGGCTCCGCCTGGTGTCCGGGGCGCGGGAGCGGCCCTGCTGCCCTGCCCTGAGGGTGAGCCCGCGGGTCTTAGTAGCTAGGGACCGGGCCCCGGGAAGACGGACACAGCGGGCGGGGGTGGAGACTTAGAGGCGACGCTCAGGAACAAGGGAAGAGCCAAGAAGACCTTGGCTGGCCGGTGGATGAGGAGGAGAGCCGCGGCCAACGGGTGGGGACCGCCGTGCGCGCTTGACGTGGGAAGCCAGGTCACAGGTTTGAGCTAGAAGATTTTTAGAAAGGGGTCAAAGCTTAAAAAAATCGCTTTGCAGGTGACTTGCAACTGACTGACGCTAGGTAAGGGCCAAAGAAGAAAGAGAGGAGGGTGGTTGGTAGGGAAAATTCATTGAATTTGGGTTGTTTTAGCATTACTGACAAATCAGATGTAAGTGCAAGAAAGAAGAAAAGGCCATGGTGACCCCAGAGGTTTGGGCCAAGCTCAAGGCAGTACTCTGTAATGCAGGCAGACTGCAGCGCTTGCAAGCGAGTCGGTACATAACGAGGAAGCCTTGCTACTTGCCTGCGATGAGTGTTGGGTTTTGTTTAGGAAACTAGAGGAAATTAAGAAAAAAGATGAGCCGTTCAGTAGTGAGGAGACAAACCTGGAAGTGCACATCCGGGTGAGCTACCGCCATGCCCTCCGCGTAATAGCGAAGGAGAGATTTCTTGTAACCTGGAAACCCGGGTGCTGACCAGGATGCAGAGCATCTGCCTCACTAAGTTGCTGGTAAGAATGGAAAATAGGAAAGAAACTCCCAACCCGATAGATGTCCCCTATGAGTTTGTGTTCTCTAAAATTGAAGAATGAATTTTAGGAACGGCAGGCTAAGAGCGGAATATATTTATGAGGGGGAGAGCTTCTGTCCCAGAGAGAGGTCCCAAATGGGTTACCCAAGAACCTGCCATTTTTAGGGATTTTTAGGAATAGTGCACATCCACAACATGAGGCCAGTCTAAGGTAGGTATGAAGTGGGATAAAACTATGGTCAGCCAATAAGATTGCAGGTACAATTGCTTAAGTAAAATGAATAAATCAGGATCAAATAGGGAACCAAATGTCAGCAAGTGGGCAGGAATGCAGAGCAGAGGCATTCCTGTAGAGGCTGGGTTAGTGGCTCTTCCTGACTTTCTCAAGGTGATAGACATTTAGGATGTCAGTCACTGATGCTTATCCTTACGGAAATGTGTGGCTGCATTTGTTTTATCTTTTATTGAGGTCTGGCCAACAGCAGAGGTGCGTGTCTCTCCCACAACTGCAAGGTGTCTGGTCTGCACTGGCTTCTTCCAGGGCCTAGCCTTATCTAACTGCCTATAGTAGTTTATCTAACTTAGTTCCCTACAACATTACCAGATGGTCAGGACACTGGTATGGCATCTGGTTGACAAATAGGACAATAGACAAAAACAGCCCAAAGGTAGCCTTGCACCACGTGTAGTAATCTGTAAATATGAAGTGTCCTGCCAAGACCTGTGTATTGAGGGCTTGATGCCTCTGGAAGCAATGTTCAGAGAGGTGATTGGATCATATAGGCATTAGCTTCATTACCGTCCCAACTCCGTCACTTCATAGGTCTGCTAATTGGGTTTTATTGGATGGCATGGAAGCAGGAATTGGGGCCCCGATGAAGGGAGTGAGTCATGGCAGGACTCTAGGGACTGTGTCTGGACCTAGCCCCGTCCTCCTTGGCTCTTTCCCTCTGTGGCTTTGTTCTCTCCTGCCTCCATCGAATGTGCAGCTTTCTTCAGCAGCAGCTTCCCACCATGACTTTTCTGCCTCCACACACGTCCAAGCACCTGGGCCAGCAGACCATGGACTGCATTGCGTATCACAGTGGTCAGCTGACTTTTAACCACAGTGAAGATGGAGCTGAAATAGCTGGACAGCCATGAGCCATAACCCAGGCCTGTCTTGGGTGGAAAAATTAAGTGTGAAGTCTAGAACTATTAAACTTTAGTAGGAAAGAGAAAATGTGTGACTTTGGGTTAAAATTTTTGGTATGTCTTTGAAAAGCATGATCATGAATTGAAAAACTGGTAAAAATTGAAGTTCATCAGTCAAGAACTTCTGCTCAATGAAAAAGACTGCTAAGAAAATGTAAGTATTGACAAACCACACCTCTGATAAGGACTGAAAACCAGAATACATATGGCCCTTAGTATTTGTTGACAGTTGGTTCCAGGACCTCACCTAAGAAGCCAAAACCCCTGAATGCTCAGGAATCTTATGCAGTGGTGTCTTGTTTGCTGACAGCCAAAGCGCTTCTTCCTGTAGACTTTAAATCACCTCTGGATTATTTACACTAGCTGTTATGGTTTGTGTCTACTTGTCCCCACCCCCAAGTCTCATGTAAGTTATGGGGCGGACACAACTGGAGGAGCAACATGTGGCTTGAGGGGCGGGGCCAGAGAGGCACAAATGGTTAAACTGGCAGCCTGTGCTTTCTCAGAGATGTGGAGAGGGGGGCTGGGGAGATGGCTCAGTAGGATAAGCGCTTGACTGGCAAACGCAAGGATCTGAGTTCAATCCCCGGTTCGGCCAAAAAAAAAAAAAAACTACTGCTAATTTGGGGGCCGGGGAGATGGCTCACTGGAATAAGCGCTTCCCTGGCAAGCACAAGAACCTGAGTTCAATCCCCAGTTCCGCCAAAAAAAAAAAAAAATGTGGAGAGGGTCACCCTGGACACGGCAGTGCCCCAGTCTCTCCTCCAGTGTCTTGAAACCTCCAGTAACTGAGCTAAATAAACCTTTCCTTCCCTCATTTGAGTGTCAGGTGTTTGTCCCAGCAATGAGAGAAGAGTAACTAATACACCAGTTGATATAGGTGTCAGGGAAACTCCCTACAAATAGCTGCGCAGGGAGGAATGGCAGACATGCATGCTCAGATCAGTGTTTTCCCAAAATATATTTGATCTGCAGTCAGTTGAACGGAGAATGTGGAACCTTCTCAGACCTCAACCAACTATATAAAGAATTTAAATACTCAATAAAAATCAGAAAACATTCAGTTAAAAAGTAGAAGGCTTCACCAGATATGCACAGATGTTCATATAGCCCAAAGAAAGACTCCAGTATTGTCATTGAATTAAAACTGTATGACTTTGTCTCTTCTGGGCATTCTGCATAAGTGAAGTCATAAAGCACGTGACCTGAGGCTGCTTTCATGGAGTGCGATGTGGCCAGGATGCATCCTGTCTGCCGTGTGTTCCTTTTGGTTGCCTAGTAGTACTCCGTGATGGTAGACTGTTGATACTACTCCATTGTCCCCCTCTGTTTGGTTGTTATGACTAATGCTTCTATGAACAGTCATACACAAAATATCTGTGGACTTAGTACATGCCTGTGAGTAGAATTCCCGGGTCATACGGTAGCTTTATGTTTAGCATTTTGAGAAGCTATTTTCTTTTTTCTTTTCTTTGTTTTTGTTTTGCGGAACCAGGGATTGAACTCAGGCAAGCGCGTATTCTACTGAGCTATCTTCCTGGCCAAAAAGCTACTATTTTCAGAAAGAAAAAAAATAGCAGCTTTAATATCCCAAACCAAGAAACATGCTGAATGTTCATCAGCAGATGGATGGATGGATGGATGGATGGATGGATGGATGGATGGGTCAACAAGTTCTATATGTTCTGTATCCATGTTGTATATTCATTACGAGTTTAGCCAGTGAATGCTATGTGATTAGTAATACACTAATGTTTGTGTTATTCTGGGATGAAAATGAACTAATGCAATAGCATGAGTCTCAAAATAATTTTTCTGTGCAAATGAACCCGGACATTCTATAGTAT